AAATATTTGGTTCTTTGGTTATCTTTCTGAAATAATGACTAGTTATTATTCTGAACGTGTTTGGAAATTTGTTGAACCACTTTTTCCTCTTATTTAATCAGATAAATAGAGCTAATTGTCATTATTGTTAAACGACTACAGGTAATTTACGGGTACATGAACAAGTCAACATAGAAAAGCACTGCCTCACAGTACTTCATTGTATAATGTCACTAAACCCTATTTCACGTAAACGAAAGTGCGACGAAATTCAAAGAACTAAGCAATATTAAATTTAACTTCTGTATATTGTCTCAGATTCCTAAATGTTTGAAAAATACACCACCATGAACCAACTAATAAATTGAAATTGTACTAGATTTAGAACATTTAGTGTTGATAAGAAATAGTGGATATTATTATTTTATTTAAAGACATATATTGGTACAACTCCGCCTGTAGCTCTTCTAGAGTTACTGCCGGTCCCAAGCCCGGGTAAAGGAGGAGGGTTGGGCATGGGGTTAGCGACCCCATCCCGTAGAAAAGCTAACTCGCTAAAAAAACGCTAACCAGAAAAAATCATCCAAACCATTTAAACTCTGCCCTGGGAGTTGAAGGAATAATGACGTCTCATGATGAAAGCCAAAATTCTTCGGAAGTCACGAGACCGATGAACATTCTAGCAACCAGAGCAACACTCTTTATAGGTACATGGAACGTCCGGACAATGTGGGAGACAGGAAAAACCAGCCAAGTAGCAATGGAAATGAGAAGATACAACTTGGCAGTACTCGGAATCAGCGAAACCCATTGGACACAAACTAGACAACAAAGGCTAGGTACAGGAGAGATGCTGCTGTACTCCGGTCACGAAGGGGAAAATGCTCCACACACTCAGGGAGTTGCTCTAATGCTGTCCATAGAAGCACGAAATGCACTTGTGGGATGGGAATCTCATGGACCCAGGATAATCAAAGCATCATTCAGAACAAAGAAGCAAGGGATCACAATGAACGTTATCCAATGTTATGCACCCACCAATGATAGCAACGACGATGATAAAGATCAGTTCTATGAAAGGCTGCAATCAATTATAGCAAAGTGCTCACGAAAGGACCTCACCATCCTGATGGGAGATCTAAATGCTAAAGTTGGAGTGGACAACACAGGATATGAAGATATAATTGGACGACATGGATTAGGAGAAAGAAACGAAAATGGCGAGAGACTTGCAAACCTATGTGCATTCAACAAATTGGTTATAGGCGGCACAATATTCCCACACAAGCGCATACACAAAGCTACATGGATCTCACCGGACCACACCACAGAGAACCAGATTGATCACATCTGTATCAACAAAAAATTCCAAAGATCAATGGAAGATGTGAGAACCCGGAGAGGAGCTGACATAGCTTCAGATCACCACCTGGTTGTGGCCAAGATGAGACTGAAGCTAAAGAAACACTGGACAACTGGACAAACAGCACTACAAAGGTTTAATACAGCCTTCCTTCGAGATACTGACAAGCTCAATGAATTCAAGATAACTCTCAACAACAGGTTCCAAGCTCTACAGGATCTACTGGAAGAACAAGAAACTACTTTGGTGGACAACTGGAAAGGGATAAAAGAGGCGTTAACTTCAACGTGTCAGGAGGTTCTTGGTCCTAAGAAGCATCATCATAAGGAATGGATCTCTCTGGGAACCCTCAACAAGATTCAAGAAAGGAAGAACAAGAAACTAGCAATTAACAACAGCCGAACACGAGCAGAGAAAGTCAAAGCACAAGCAGACTATGCAGAAGCAAACAGGGAAGTGAAGAAAAGCATTCAAGCCGACAAGCAGAAATACATGGGAGAACTAGCAACGGCGGCGGAAAAAGCTGCAAGAGAAGGGAATATGAAACAACTATATGATACAACAAAGAAATTGGCAGGGAGATATAGCAAACCAGAGAGACCAGTCAAAGACAAAGAAGGAAAGACAATCACTGAGATTCAAGAACAGAGGAAAAGATGGGCAGAATACTTCGAGGAACTGCTGAATAGACCAGCCCCGTTGAATCCACCGAACATCGAAGCAGCCCACACAGACCTTCCAATAGATGTTACTCCACCAACGATCGAAGAAGTCAAGATGGCCATCAGACAAATCAAAAGTGGGAAGGCGGCAGGACCTGACAATATACCAGCAGAAGCACTGAAGTCAGACATTGAAATAACTGCAAATATGCTTCACCTTCTATTCAAGAAGATTTGGGAAAAGGAACAAGTGCCAACGGACTGGAAAGAAGGATATCTCATCAAGATACCAAAGAAAGGAGATCTGAGCCAATGTGAGAACTACAGAGGTATCAGTTTGTTATCAGTACCAGGAAAAGTTTTCAACAGAGTGCTGCTGAATCGGATGAAAGACGCAGTAGACGCTGAACTTAGGGATCATCAGGCTGGATTCCGTAAGGATCGGTCGTGCACAGACCAGATTGCGACACTACGGATCATCGTTGAACAATTAGTTGAGTGGAACTCATCACTATACGTCAACTTTATTGACTATGAGAAGGCGTTTGACAGCGTGGATAGGAGAACATTATGGAAACTTCTTCGACACTATGGAGTTCCTGAAAAGATTGTCAACATTATCCAAAACTCATACGATGGACTACAGTGCAAAGTGGTGCATGGAGGACAGCTGACAGATGCATTTCCAGTAAGGACCGGAGTCAGACAAGGCTGTCTACTCTCCCCATTCCTCTTCCTTCTAGTGATTGACTGGATTATGAAGAATTCGACATCTGAAGGGAAATACGGAATACAATGGACTTCTCAGAATCAATTAGATGATTTGGACTTCGCAGATGACCTAGCCCTCCTCTCTCATACACACGACCAAATGTAGCAGCAGCCTCCGCATCGATAGGCCTCCACATTCACAAAGGAAAAAGCAAGATTCTCAAATGCAACACGGAGAACACCAACCCAATCACACTTGATGGCGAAACTCTGGAAGAGGTGGAAACATTCACGTATCTGGGGAGCATCGTTGATAAACAAGGGGGATCGGATGCAGATGTAAAGGCGAGGATTGGCAAAGCAAGGGCAGCATTTCTACAATTGAAGAACATATGGAACTAAAAACAACTCTCAACCAATTTCAAGGTCAGAATCTTTAATACGAACGTCAAGACAGTCCTACTGTATGAAGCTGAAACGTGGAGAACTACTATGACCATCATCAGGAAGGTACAAGTATTTATAAACAGTTGTCTACGCAAAATACTCAACATCCACTGGCCGGATACTATCAGCAACAGCGTTTTATGGGAGAGGACAAATCAGCTTCCAGCTGAAGAGGAAATTAGGAAAAGACGTTGGAAGTGGATCGGACATACACTAAGGAAATCACCAATGTGCATCACGACTCAATCCCTAACTTGGAATCCGGAAGGGAAGAGGAAGGCCAAAGAACACACTACGCCGGGAAATAGAAGCCGATATGAAAAGGTTGAATAGCAACTGAAAAGAACTGGAAAGGAAGGCCCAGGACAGAGTTGGATGGAGAATGCTGGTGAGCGGCCTATGCTCCTCCACAAGGGGTAACAGGTGTAAGTAAGTAAGTAAAGTAATTGGTACAAAAAACACCAGATAAATATGCGCCTCACAAATCTCATTTGATTTGTGTGAGGGTTGTGATACTGCCCGGGGTCCCAGATTGAAGCAGGTGGTTTTCTTAGGAGGCCACACCCCAAGCCTTTGACCTGAAGGTCTAGTCCACAAGGCAGTGGAACATCTTAAGGAGATGCAGTCCCATGGTAGCCGGTGACCAATAGTTGGTTCATACGCCATTCGTTCCTTCAGGATACTGGAGCCCATGTGCACTATTGGTTTGGAATCAGGGTTTTCCAACTCCCCTAGGTGGATCCTCCACATCCACCAACCCGGTTAAAGCGCCGGACATTCGCTTTTCGTCCTCTCACTTTCGTAAACAACACCCACGCCACGAGAAGGCAGTGAGTAGAACTTCCCTGGCAGAGGCTATATGTTCGCGTGGCCATGTGAGAGAATTTCGAGAGGGAGAGCGGAGTCTCACCACTCTTGGCCGTACCAGGGCATTTGGGGGCATATTGGATATCAGTTAATCCAAGTTATAGGAAAATGCAAAGAGTAAATCTGTTAACTTGTGGCCTTTTATTAGGATTGATATTTCAATTCTTTAATAACTGATATCGTCAGTCAGTCAGCTACAACGTAGGACCAGGCACATATATGCATCGGTCCAAGTTGCCATACCTCGTAAGCGCAACAAGATGAACTCCGGATTCATAGTAGTCAAGTTAGTGGTGGTAGTGTATAAAAGATATGTTGTATATAAGGATATAGTATAGGAAAGAAGTTATGAAGCAATTTTAATCTCAAGGTTTAAGGGGAGATAAAGAGTGTAATACACCTACGCCATTGCGATCGATTCTGAGCCATGTTGCCCAGAGTCTCCAACCATTGGTTACGATAGTCACGTAGACCCCAACCAAGTAGTCTGCATCTGCCAACATGGCTCAGACTAGAAGTTAGTAACTCCATGCTCTGATGCCACGTTTTGGTTTGGCAGCCCCTAACTATCTTCCAACCATCCCCAATACTAGTCAGGATAGCGCGTCGTGGTAATCAGTGTTCATGCATACGTAACACGTCAATAACTGATATATGTATATCATATGGAGTTCAGCCAGGAGTGCTTTAGCGACCATTCAAATTCTAGCAACTGGTTTTCTCATCCTGATTTGAATGATGTCGTATGTTAAGTTGTGGTAACTAGATAGCGTAATCTGAGTCTGCATAATTAATATTATAAGCTTGCTTAAGTTATGGGAGTAGTACGTTCAGAGATTTTCTTATTAGTGGCAGTTTCAAATTGAATAAGCGATGTAAGAATTAATTTATTGTAGATCATTTTAAAATTTCACTCGTGGATTTTTACGAATAAATATAATTTTATTTGCCTTCCTTATGAATCACTACAGATTTTTGCCCAATACCTTCGAAGAATCATACTGCATTGGTTCCCCGATGCACCTAACGCACACATTAGTCAACGAGTGGGACAACTATGGAGAAAACTAGATTTAAAAATGCGTGATAAATACATGGATGAAGCTTTTCGTTTGCAACAATTACATGCCATAGAATTTCCTGACTATAAGTATAAACCTAAAAAGCGTGCACGTAATGTAAATAGCGATGACAACAAAATTGAAACTGATGAACGTGTTCCCAAGTCAGAAGTTGTCATACCAATTATATCAAAATCGATGACATCTAATAATAACAATAATTCCAAAATGCATCATGAGAATGTTACATTTCCCGTTGATCAGAATTTTTCCACTAGCTTAAACAATCAAAATTCTGACGAAAAACATCCTCAAAACCAAACGCCGATGATAATTGGACAAAACCAAAGCTCTACTGTTAACTCCATCACTTGCTGCAGAAATTACTTACAATCTAATTCACAGGTAAACAATAAGTTGAATATGGAATTATACCAACCAGTAAAAGTAGATTATAATTATTCCAATACAACACGTGTTGGCAATCCATATGACAAAAGAGTGTTTATATCACCTGCTATAAATGACAACTATATTTCTAAGGAAAATGAAGAAGTCGACGAAAAAATGACATTATTAGTTTCTGATAGCGGGGACATCGAACATGTAACTTGTCAGTTGCATAAAATCATACCATGTCAAACTATTGATGGAATAACTGAATCCCTGATATTGCCATCGTCACTAAGCCAGGAAAATCAAATTAAGGAAATTCGAATCCTGAATATGCACTCGCCGACTGTTCAGCAACTTGCAAATGAACAGCCAATCATATATCATACTTTCCTGTGTGAACCTCTCAAGGCGACTGTTATTAGACAATCTACAGTAATCCCAATTAAAACAAATTCCTCAATGTTAAATGGCATGCTATTGGATACTAATATGACTAATTTAAGTTTTCAGCCATTTGTTACACAAACAACTGGCAGCACTACATCATACTTATATCCGAATTCCTATAAAATTGGATTTAATCATGATAAAGTAAATCCTTTGTCAGAAATCAGTCTAGGAAATATTCAATCTCAATATGGCAACTTGCCAAGCACCTGTAACCATAATTTAAGCTATCCAAGAGAAAAACTGAGTACAAAATATGTTAGAAAGGACAGTCAGTTGTTAAATTTTAAACAGGGTATTGGTGATAAAAGGAAGTCTACTGCTACGGATTTATATGGTGGTGATGAAAAATTCCTGGGTATGTTATCCAGTCGTCATACAAATACGTCCCTATTCGTGGAGAGCCTCAAGTCAAAGTGTGAAAACGACAATGTTGACACAGCACTCAGTTTTAATGATATTGAAACATGCAAGTCAGGAACTTCTCTTGACGAACTTGAACAGATCACTTTGTTTTCTTGTGATAGTAATAACGAATTCTTACAGACTATAGACCCTTTGAATCTACCGACTGAGAACTCCCCATTGGCTTTACAGTCTGCAAGTATAAACAACTGCCAGCAAACAAAACTACCGCCTAAAGACTCAGCCTTACGTACAGATACCTTCACGCACCCTAACGGCTTGCCAAGTATTGAATCATGGACATTTGGAGCATCAAAGTCTTTCCAACCAAGTTGAAATATTTATTTTGGCTTTTCTTATAGAACTCGTATTGTTTTTGATAAAATACGTATATCCTACTTTTAAAATTGATTTTCGGAGACAATTTTCCTTTTAATACAAATGAAAATGAAGACGAATATGAAAATACTTTCTCAATTATTTTCCACTTTATAGTTATTTTTGAATGAAATGAGACCCACTTTGCTTTATTTTCCTTATATGATTAACTTTTAGTAAATTATTGACTGATAATTTCGAATATTTATTGCCATCTGCCAATTGGTAGACAGACGGAACATAATATGCTGTTTATAATATAAGTTCTTATTTTATGAGAACGACTGTTGATTTACTGATACGGAAATGTTTGATCTTACTTCAGAAGTTCAGGCGATCACAATCCTGATTAGAATATCAAGGTATAGAAGTGGATTATTATTAAATCATGAGTAGTAGTTTTACAAAGGTACTTAGTATAAGTCAACTTGGTGCTATGGAAATAGAATTTTCAAGCCACTACTCTGACAATATATTCAGTCAAGTCCAGTTGCGAAAATCTGCTGGGTAGTTCAAGAGTTACAAAATTTATGGAATGGTCTTTGTGGTAAGCAAGATGGTTTGCCGAACTATATTATAGTTCAAATGAAGTCAAAGTGAGTTTCTTAGATTAGGAAACGATGTACACCAGTTAGTAATGTGATTGCTTTATTAGAATAACAAGAGCATGGCTTACATCAGAGCTTCAATGCTGATTGGCCATATTTAAAACTGTCACATTAGACGTGAATTGTTCGCTTGGTGCTAATACTTTTGTCAAATGAGTCATATAACTTTCGGCAGAACTAATTTGCATGCTCGTAGTATACAACAAAAGAATTATGGGCTCTGGAATGTACGTCCTTCATGCGTCTAACGGTTCGCTGTGTTGGTCTGTTTACCCTTCCAATCTTTCGTGTTTGAAGTTCAGTATTCCCCAAACATTCATTACACAGCCTGGCAAAAAGGGTCTCGAGTGTCTGAATTATAAAGGATTGGAAGGCGAATCGTAATCAGACCAATTATCCAGGACGGATTCATGATCCCCATACCGAATTATCAAATTGATATGATTATACTTAGATAAACGGCCCAAAAATTGACAGGCTTCGGTATACGAAGAAAGGTGAGAACTATCACCCTTATTACCACAGTTACAAACATTTAGATCTATGAACTGTTCAACTGTCGACCCTAATACATGGGGTAGTACTAGATTATCAAAATAGTTATGTAATAGGCACTTCACTACAGAAGGCAACATTTTTAAGATTTTTCCCCATCACTACAAAACAAATAGTAAAAACATTCTTCTACCAAAATTAGTTGATTATTAGAAAAGAAACTAATGAACAGAAGTTTAGTGAAAACATCCAATATCTATTTCTGTGTAGAAGTGCTACTTTTAATCTGATTACAGCAAACAGCTGCTACAGTTCCAATCATCATTCCTACTATTGCTGTTTGCATTGGCCCAAATGCGTTGGCGAAACCTGCTATCCCGCCGCATCCCAAACCGATATAACTGAAACGATCTACACGAAGCTTAATTTTTAAAAAAATTATAAAACCAAAGAAATTACAAGAATCACTGAGTAATTATATGGATTTGTAGGTATCAATGCCAAGACTGGACTTGATAGTTTCAAATAAATTGAGCATTCGGTTGAAAGTTAACAATAAATATATTTTTGTGATATCCCAATTAGTAGGAAATTGTATTAACGACATTTCGAGACCTATTGCATATTATTTATTTACTTTGAAGAAGTGACTTATATTAGGTCACGAAACGTCATTAATACAATTTTTTACTAACTGGGATATCACAAAAATATATTCGTTACTATTCATATGGATGCCTAGAAAATATGTTGTAAGACGACCCATGTTCTTGAAGTGAGGGATACTAGAAACACACAATTGGCTATCTTTCCTGGAAAAACCAAAAATTTGGTTTTGAATGTTATTTAGGTTCCACTTACTGATATCCCGACAGAAAACATTCATTCTAAGTGTTAATTGTAGTAGCATTTTACCTGTAAACACGATTGTATTGAAGAATTCGCTGTGCAGTTAACAAGAATCAAATCTCTAGACCGTATAGACTTTGCCCTGTTTTAGCAAATATTTTCCTCATAAAGTTTGTCTCCTATATAAATTTGAACAAATTAAGAACAACGAAATTTGTAGGATGGAACTAATCCATCCAATGTTGAGGCTACTCATAAACTGCAAACAGCCTAAGGTAACACCGAGTCATGTGATAAAAAAAGTGTGATATACTTTAGTGGGCGAAGTTGCGATGGGCGTTCAAAATGGGACTGAATTACAATCAGAGGGAAAGGACAAATATGCCACTCACGCCTGTTACCCCTCATGGAGGAACATAGGTCGCTCACCAGCATTTTCATCCAGCTCCATTCTGGACAATCCTTCTCAGTTGCTGTTTATCCTACTCATGTCTGCTTCCGATTCTCAGCACAGTGTGTTCTTTGACCTTCCTCTTTTCCGTTTTTCTTCAGGATCTCAAGTGAGCGCTTGCTTCCTGATGCAGTTTGGTGATTTCCTCATTGTGTCCTATCCACTTCCAGCGTCTTTTCCTAAATTTCTTCTCAGCTGGATGCTGCTTTGTTCTCTTCTATAGTAGGCTGTTGCTAATGGTATCCGGTCAACGGACTTTTAGTATTTTGCAGACAGTTGTTTATAAATACTTGTACCTTTTTGATGATGGTTGTGGTAGTTCTCCAACTTTCAGCTCTCTACAGTATAACTATATTGACGTTCGTATTGAAGATTCTGACTTTAATATTGCTTGACGGTTATTTTGAGCTCCATATGTTCTCCAGCTATAGGAATGCCGTCATTGCTTTGCCAGTCCTCCTCTTTACACCTGCATCAAATCCTCCACGTTCATTGATGATGCTACCCAGATACGTGAATGCTTCTACGTCTTCCAGAGTTTCTGCAAAATATAGCACTAGACGTTTGAAAATGATACGCATCTTTTATATTTTGAAATGAAGCAGAAACATTAGTCTTGAAAAGTGGGTGATAGTTACTAGTCATTATGAAAGTACGCGATCACAATAAGATGATGGCGACCGCAGGTGATTACATCGCGAGACGCAGGGTCAAATTAGTGTATGAACACAAATAGGTTTATATCTCTTATAACAAACAGAGATTTATCACCTTTTTCTTCTGTACAAATAGGTCAGGTTGGAAGCATTCGATTAGTCTCAGAAAAAGGGATAAAATCGACGTCCGATATTCGTCAGTTATTTCGAATGCTTTAAAAGTATTCACGGACTAACAATGTATCTAGTATCTATTAAATACTTGAAAATTGCATTTACGAAGAAAATTTAACTCCCAAATATGGATTTCTGGTGTTTACTGAGTTAGCTCGCTTTGATTCTGGAAACCTGGAAGGGAAGTGACAAGTTTCCAACTTTGTTGGTCCGGGAGCGCGACTGGAAAGCTAGAGGTTTTAAGTAACCATTACATGCTTGTTACCGTAATAAGAGGTCTTGCTCCCCGAATTTCAGGCAGGTGAAGTGTGCCATCTAATGGACCCTCACATTTATCGTAATGAGATACTAGTTATTCGTGAGAAACACCTTACTGCGATCACTACAGCTGTAGGTATAAATTTAGACTTCGAATTTCCTTCGTTTGGTTTGACCTCATCTTATTGAAAAGTTGTTTATAAACTTCCGAACAGAATCTGTTAGTGATCTTCATTTAATTTTCATTGTTATAACAAAATCCATTTGGATTCATTTATTTCCTATAAATACTAGGGGAAAATACTCAGCTGATACTCGCTTTATATACATACTTGTGAATACATTCTATATTTTCACTTCACGAGTGATGTTTTCAAGAATTTTATAACTTCCTGAAACTCGATTAAGATGCTGACGGAACAGACTAGTTGGTTACTGTACTTGTGTAAACCCCTTATTCAAGTCTGAAGTAGATAATAGTTTTTCCTGGTAGCTCCTTTAAGCTGAGTTTTCAGTTAGTAAAGGTTTTACGACACGAAATATGTGTTCTTGTGGTAACCCTATTAAATGAACTGCTTGAAACGCATCTGGTATGCTAATTTACGTATGTTGAGATACCAAATCTCCATATTTTGGGGAAAATGGAGGACTTTGAGTAAATCTTAGGGTTTTCCCCAAAGTTGTGATAAGTTTGGTAGTTTTCCCCAAAAAGTTTAGTGAAAAAAACAAAGTGTTATAAGATCCTGAGGAAATATTAGAAGAAACCTAAACACTGAGGATTTTCCCCAGACCTGAGGGGATTTCGGGGTTTTTGTGTCATCCCCTCAAAGTTTTATATTACGGCTTCCTCAAAATTTACCCAGAATGGACAAAAGTCTCCCCAAAATAGGGAGATCGGGTAAGTTTAGTTCACCTACAGTTCCTGAATATGCATGATCATGAACCCTTATAGAAATGAATGACTATTCGATAGTAGAATTTACACGAATAAAGTTGGCTATTCGAAGGATATGACCTATATTAGCATACTAGCTATACCTGGTTTTTGTTGCATCGTAGCCGATAGCACCTGTCGTAAAATGCTTCGTCCGGTTGACCTTTCATTCGAGCATACATTAGTATTGGGGCAATGGTGAGTCCGGGTAGGAATCCATATGTGGCGAATTTAACCGATCTTCTGGTTAAACACCTTAAAGTTCTAGGTTCTAAAGTTGGAAATGAATTCTAAAATTGCAGAAACAAACTTGACAGCAAGGTAATCATCGGGGCACATATGATGGCTCCGAAAAGACATGAAGTTTGAACCGTTCTGAGAGCGATATGCGTCAGCAGTTCAATCTTTAAATGTGGGATACTTTGAAGCTCTTCCTCGCTTAAATGCACACTAAAAACATTTTTTACCCATAATGATCCCATCTGCATGTGTACCGTTACGGAGTTAATAGGTTTATTTAAATGACAGAACGTTGAACACTTACGATGCGCCGATGTAGAGGTAAGTTTAGTGGGGCAACGATCTAATAGTATTATCCACTGATAGAGGTCGCCGTGTCCTCGAAGGTCAAACCGTTATAAAACGATTGGTGCGTCACCTCGTCGACTTGTAGGGTTGCTCAGAAGCGGTCAAATCAAGACGTTTTAGATTTGATTTGAGTTCAGTCACATTATATCTGTTAACATACATCCTTCAGATAGCGAAAATGATTCCATCGTAATGATGCATGATGAGGCACGAATCGCTAAAAGTATTATGTTATCGCGACGATTTACTAGTTGAGACATTTTTGAGGCCTGCCTGAAAATACATAAACTTGGTATGATTTGACCTCCTGATGGCAATTGGTACTTACAATTGCATGTAGTATACGTACAAAATGACGATTACTTTGTACTTAAATATGCGCTGATTACGAATCCCAATTGGGATAATACTTAAGTATAATGTGTTCATTTGTGCTCGTCTAGTTCTATCTGCCTTAAAATGTACTATTTAGAGAATTATTAGTACATTGATTAGGATACTTTCCTACCACCTTGTGGGGCCCTAGCCAAATCATCCGGTAGTTGGGTCACTGAATATCGAACACACCATCGATCCTTGTCAAAGTCAAGGGCAACCAACACGCATTAGTTAGTAGTATGTCACGGACTGGCCCATGTGGTACTGTGCTCGTTCTTACTAATATGTTTCCGTAATATCATCCTTTGTGTTATACAGTCTTCAAAGCAGCCATAGTACTGTGATACGTTAAATTGTAGTGACCGGCAGGTCTCGATAAGAACACGATTGGAATAACGGAAACAATTTTTATTATTGTAACCAATTGTACTAGAGATTGTTTTACTGTATTTGTTTAACTGTATGAGTTTCACTTCTGCTTTCGCTCTCCGCCTTGTTTGGTTCGAACTTGCTCACGCACTGCCTGTACGCCTGTACTCTTTGGCACGTCTCGGTATTATTTCGATACCACGAGATCGCCAATAAATACAATTGATCTGGATTAATAAAGTCTTCTGATTTACGAGCTATCAAAGGGACCAAGTCGTTTTTTGGGCGCGTAAACGAATTGTAGTGGTGATCATAGTCCGTCTTCGACTCGACATCCACTACAAAATGATGACCACGAGGTGTGACTTCGAAGTTAGCTGTTTGCCACGCCATTCCTGTCTGACTCAAGTGGGCCACCAATTATTCAGCATAGATCATCTAATTTAGTAATCTACAACCTCTAGGGAGAAGTGTTCACGAAGTCATATTAATCACGTTCATGGCAGAGATGGCCTGTCGAACAGTTGCACCGGCCCGTCCTAACATGTGGGAGGCAGATATGGAGGCGATGAACTGTGTAGCACCGGCTGAAAACTGGATAATTGTCACAGTGGCACTAATAGAAGAGTCATGGACTCGTTTTAGGCAGTTTTACAATCAGGTAGCTGTGGTGTTTGAATGAACCAATGATTCCCTTGTAATGGTGACTGTTTTGATTTCGGATTCCAAATACAATACATTCGTTCCTGCTCGTCTAATACTTCTTAATTAAATTGCGTTATTGCTGGGATTAGAAGTTCATATTATAATTAAAATACTTCTCCATATTACATTTGCGTCGCGATGGAGCCTGTGATAGAACGGTTGGATATATATTCATATTTTAATGCTTTTGAGGATTACATGGAAAGTTTCAAAATCTGGGCTATGACCAAGGAGGATGATAAGGATTTTAATATTGTTGCCCATTTCCTTGCATTCATCGGAAAAAAAACATACAGCCTTATAAAGACTTTGGCGTTTCCAGACAAACCGATTTCACTCCATTATGCAGTAAGGGAGGAAAATCAGATGAAATGACTCGCCAGAACATCAGGAATTCCACTACTTTAATACGCCGTCTCAGTCCGGAACGTAATAAAAATTATTCAGATAACAATTCATTAAATTGTGAAACAGTTCACGAAGACGAGCACAAGTTTGGCAAATGCTTGTTCTATGGCAAGTTTCACCTGTAGCTGTAAATAATTCCCCAAAATCAATAGCCTTCTAAGTGTTCGAAATTGGATGCTGACAACGTTGTTTAAGTGGACTTGTTTAACTGAGGGCTTTCGGTCATGCATCCGTACCAGATCACGTTTCGACCCAGCGTGGGACACATCTCCTACGTTCACTAGCCGGCTTAGAGTAAACGCTTCTCGATATATTGGTAACGCATCAAATATATCTTTCCTACCTCTTCTCGTCTGATTTCGATTGGTTGGGGAACGTTTCGTGCATAGAAGGTGTTACTGGTAGCTTGTTGTAAAATTAGAATAATATTCGTATCTTCACACCCATGTAATTCATGTGTACTTCGTAATTCTAAATGCCTTGAATGTGGTAAAACTGGACACATTCAGTCAGTTTGTAATAACATGGTTCAGTTAGCTGAAAGTAATGCTAAAAAGGATGTTTCTTATGATCACTTATCTTTATCGAATACTTCTAGAAGCGGTAGAACGTCACATAACAGTTCAGAGTTAAATGAAACTCAGAATCATTGTGAGACAATTGTTTCTAACGAACCGAATTCTTATCGGATTTCTCATGTTATTGAACCAGATATGGTTTGTCGTAATTGTTATATCTAGAGCCTTGATTCTTAATATGCCGCGAACTACTCGTCTACTTGAACGATACAACCCGCAACGTCGCAAAAGAGAGAAGACAAAGACTGGTAAGTAGGAAGTTTATTCCCCAAATCAGTGTCAAAATATAGCACAGAAATCTCGTGTATTTATAGTTTTTTGGCTAAAGGTAAATCATCATTTAGGTCAACCAATAGGCACATAGGAGTCATGCTAATCCATCCAATGGGGAAGCTACACGTCGACATTCTAGAACATTCCCCTAGCAGTGATTGGATGGAATGCCTGTGGCTATTCCTGGGCTTCTTAAGGCTTCCTAGAGTCTACCGACGAGCCGTCCTTACAGTAATAATTGACATATTTCCGATGAAATTTCTTACAACTCTGAGGATAATATGTTGAGGGAGTCAAATCATTATCGAAAACCAGATTCAGTTTTGAGAGATCCTGATTTTCCTAATCATCCATTATTCTCTAATGAAATTCTTAATAAATTTGGTGAAAACATTTCAGAAAAATCAAATTCTAATATCATATCAAGTGTCATTGGTCCTCACAATGAAGTTATCTCTGGAAATATTATTAATGAATGTGACAAATATGTTCCAAGTAAGTCAAATTCTAGTCACATTTCTGATGTTATTGTATTAGATGTTGGATATTCTCACAAACAATTTTTGTTGAGTAGGATCCCTAGTCAGTGGCATGATAGATCAGAGGGAATAGCAAGTTTCCCTGAAGCGATCAGAGAACCAGTTCGCCCAGATATGGAGTTTGCACAGGCAGAGAATCTAAATCAAGTTTAAGATTATCTTGATGAGGCAGATGCATGTTTTCCATTTGATTGTTTGGCAGGCGAATCAAGCCCAGATGAAGCACATGTGTTAATTACATATACATATATATCACATTTTTTGTTCAAGTCAAAATATTATGATGGAATACCTCAAATTATATATCGATGTGTATCCCCAAATACTCACATACAGTAATGAAAGCGTGAGGTTTGAGAAGATAATGCAGATTGGAAACGTCATATTGGTTATAACGTTACGACGTAAAGACCCAACATTATTTCGTGGAGGACAGTGTTGGAAAGTCTATGATGCAAACTCTAAATAACAGTGTTTTAAATAAATGTATTTGTAATATCTCAATGAGTAGAAAAGTTACTCATTGGGATATTACAAATATATTATTTATTTAAAACAATCTACCCAATGCTCAATTTATTCAAAATTATCTAAATAACATTGGTTTCACTACACAACCAACTTGATAATTGTACACAATTCCAGAACCCGGGTGTGTCTGTTCCGATTTTGGTTGTTAATCCTAATACTGCAGAGTGCATTCCAGATAATGTAGGAAGCAATTTCCTACAGGTGCAACTCTGAGCTATTCTTCAGACTGTCGAACACAGAGTCTTGGTTTCATCAAAGTCTGAGCAAGTAAGCTATTTGACTTAATAAACTTTATCTGTTTCTAAAACGTAAATTAACAACGTTAGTATACAAATAAACAATACGGTCTATTACACAGGGTAAAGGAGAGACATAAATAACATACCGAACAGTAACTTGAGAATGGGAAAAATGAGTCAACACGGCGAATATTGTTTTAGAATGAACATAAAATAGTGATTGGTGGATAAACGATATATAGTCATACGAGGTCAAAGAAAGTTAATGTGGTGGTGAGCGTTTCATCCTATCACCGGTGTGTTCGTTTATCGATCTCACTTTACAGTCCTCTCGAAACACGAACCACGTCCATTGTCCTGGGTCGTCGTTGTCGCTGTCAGATAACCAGCTTCTTTCAGTAGACATAGGCTTCGTACATCCCGAAAGATTTCTTCGTTTGCCATTTTTCAACTTCACTGTACGAACTCGTCCATCAGAACCATAGCTTACCTGTTCGACAATGGATTTAAGCCATAGACTTCTACTCGTTTCAACACTACGAACGAGAACTAGGTCGCTCGGTTGTAAATTCTTGCGTATGTTCAACCACTTATCTCTTGTTTGGAGAGTCGTTGGATTCTCTCTTATCCACCTATACCATAATGCGGTGGTTAAAGTTCGAGCATTTTTCCATCTTTTATTGTACAGTAAAGTCTTATCCACAGAAACATCGTAGGATGATAATCCTTTGTAAGTCAACAACGATATATTTGGAGTAAAAGCCTCTGGGGTGTCAGGATAATCCGTCATTTTAACTAGTGGTCTGTTATTTAATATCCTTAAAGCTTCATCGGTCGGCACACTTTGAAATAAAAGCGCTCTTAGAATAGTTCAATAGATGACCGATGAAATAGAAATATTTAACAGTTGCTTTACATACTTTCCGACTTTAGTAACGAGAACACACGCTGTTAATTCCATTCTGGACATAGTAACTTGTTTTAGAGGAGCAACTTTAAACTTAGCTACCAGAAAGGAGCAATGAATCTGACCAGAAACAATTTCATAGCGAACATACGTAACAAAATCATACGCATGCTCAGAGGCATCGGTAAAACAATGAATTTCAGATGATGTTTCAAACATCTTGGTATTCTTAAGTAGTTCGACTCTTTTATATGTCTACGCCAAATGTTCCAATTCGCTTGACAATCTATGAGTAAC